ATTATCATTTTCATCCTCCGATTCGTTCGTCATCCTCGTCATCGTATCGTCGTCCTCGCCCTTTTCTTGCGTCCTCTTCTTGCATCCCTTCCTATCCTTCTCCCCTCTCCTTCTCTTCTTCCTCTCTCCTCCTTTATCCTCCCCCTCCCACCCTCTTCCTCGTCCTTGTCCTCCTCCCTCCCCTTCTTCGTCGCTCGAATTCAAATTTCGGTTCAAATCCTCGGCGACGCTGGGGAACCCCGCGACAAGACATCAATGGTAGCTAGTAGCAACGCTACCGTGCCCACGGCGTGCAGCAGCGCCCCGCGCGGGCCAGCAGTCGCCGCAGCAGATAGCGAACCGCGCACTGTAGGCACGGCGAGCAGCCAGCCCGCGGCAGCTACAGCCGTCGTCGCGGGAAAAATAACTGCGCGTCAGGTAGTCGACCCGGAGCTTTCTGAGCCTGAGACAGCGCGCACGGGCCCTGACAGCCAGCCAGCGGCAGCTGCAGAATACGACAGCGCGTCAGGCGCACACACCGTTGTCACCCAGCTCAGCGAGCCAACCTCTTGCCACGGGCGTCCACAAGCGCAGCCCGATGATGGTAATAACGAGCGCAATGCGCCAGCCAGTGGCAGCAGCAGCAGCAGCACCACCAGCAGCTCAGACGTGGAGCAAGAATTGAAGCTTTTGCCATTGGCGACCCAGGTCGGAGTTTGCACCCCCGGGGGCGCCCTTCCCCCGCCTGCATTTCTTCGCAGCGTCGCGGCCGACCGTGGCAAGGTTGCGCAAAAATCGTATCAGGAGGTCAGAGAAAACGTCGTGGCACGTCTGGGGCTTAGTTTTCTTCCATTCGAGTTTCGGCTGTCGTTTCGGTTTCGGCTGGCGCGCGGCTGGCCGGTCGGCGGTCGGGCGGCTGGCCGGTCGGACGGACGGGCGGCCGGCTGGCGCGGAAACGGGGCCCGCTAAGGTGTTGCGCAGATCCCCAAGCCTTGCTTTCCTGGCTGCCGAATGGGCTGCAAGAGCGCGGCGGGGCAAGCCATCAATGCGATAGCTGGGGCGTTGTATCCATTGGAGAACACGACCAAATGCCACAAGGACCAGCTGCTCTCTTGGATCTGCAGGCCCGTTGACGCCGCCTTGCACGTTGGGCCCGTGCGAGTGTGCAAACGGGCGCAACGGGCTCTGCTTTCAATAGGTTGGAGAAGGCGAAGCAGAGCGTTGCGCGGTGAAACCGACGCCCGTTTCGGGAAGAGGGCGCGCGGCGACCCGAGGGGGAGAGCCCCCCTGGCGTACGCATCGCTGTACACCCACTTATGGCAAATTTACACTTCGCACGCGGAAACAATGCCAGACGCCGACGTCATCATTCCCGCCAATCCGACGGAGCCGGTCTCTGAAGAGAATCGGAATCAAGTGGCGGCTTTCCGGGCAGCCAGTGGCACCCATTTGCCGCCGAACCCACGCATGATCCAAAAAGGCGATCTGCGGTTCCTCATCGAGCCGTCGGAAGACTGCCCCGTGCGTCGTTTGCCCCCCGGCAGCCGAAAGGACATATGGTGGCTGCACCTCGCGTCCATGCAGGAGCAAGGGAGCTATCCAGCTGCCTGCGGCAAGTCCCGCCACCGTGCCAGTCAGCATGCTCGGCGCCTCTCGTTCGAGGTTGCACCGGAGGCCGTACTCGCGAGGGATGAACAGCATGATAACGACGATGATGATGATGATGATGAGGAGGATGATGATGATGGTGATGACGGCGACGATGATGACGATGATGATGATGAAGAACATGATGATGACGATGGTGGTGGTGGTGAAAATGATGGCGATTATGATGATGACGATGATGACGATGATGATTGTGATGATGACGACGAGGATGGTGACGATGGTGATGGTGATGATGATGACGACGATGATGATGATGACGGTGGTGATGATGATGACGATGACGATGACGATGATGATGATTATGATGATGATGATGGTGACGATGATGATGATGATGATGATGATGATGATGATCGCGGGGATATCGTGGGATGCCTTTTGGGGGCCTGTTGGAGATATTTTTGAAGCCTGGGGTTTCTTGAAGGCCTCTTGGGGCCTCCTGGGGGCCGTCTGGGGACCTCTTGGGGGCCTCTTAGGGGCCTCTTGGGAGCCTCTTGGAGCTTCTTGGAGGCCTCTTGGGGCCTCCTGGGGGCCTCTTCGGGCGGAAGGCTCGAATTTTCGGTTCGCGGTCCCCCTCTTCGGCCCCTTTTGGGGCCGTCTTGTGGCTCTCTTGGGCTGTCTTGGGCGCCTCTTGAGCCGTTTTGAAGCCCTCTTGGGCCATCTTGGGACCCTCTTGAGGGCCTCTTGGGTTGTCTTGGGGCGATATTGGGGGCCCCGGGGGTCGCCTTGGAACGTCGGAAGCTCAGAAAGGCGATAACATGAAAAACATCAAAAACACTATGAAAATCAATGATGTTTGCCTCTTTGTGCCCTCTTGGGGGTCCTCATGGAGCGCTCTCGGGGCTTCTTTGGGGCCTCCCGGGCCGTCTGGGACGCATCTTGGGCCATCTTGGCGGCTTTGGTGGCCTCCCAGGACCGTCTTGGAGGCCATCTTGGGCATTTGGGACGCCTTGGAGAGCGCCAGGGACGCGTCTTGGCGCCGACAGCGCCTCGGGAAGAGGGGGTGATGCACCCGGTTGGGCGCGGCCGGGAGAGGGGGGGGCCCCTTAGAAGATTCCAGAAACCCTGCCAGACAGCACTTGGCATTCTAGCACGCATCAACGTGCCAGGGGGCACGGTGGCGGATAGCACGTTGAAGCGGGTATGGAAAGAATGCTTCGAAAAGGTTTTGAGATTTTCCTGGAAAGCACTCCGCGTGCAATACGTGCTCTCAACTGAAGGCGGAGATGGCCCAGACAGCGTCGTACGCGGACAAATTGGTGAAGTCCAAAGCGCTTTGCGACCATCTTGAGCGGCAGTGGCGGGACAGAATGGTGTACTGGAGACTGAAAGCAGTCGCCGCGCAGGAAGGCTCAAAGTGGCTATGCGTCATTATTGATGGTGCTGACCAAGCGAAATTCAGGGTTCTAAAATCGATTGAAACGCCCAAAGCCCTGGACGGCGTGGAACGACCAAAAATGAAGGTAGAGGGTTGCTGGACGCATGGGCGGGAGTTGTCCTTTAATTTTGTCGAGGAGGACATGCCGCATAATTGCAACCTTACAATCGAAGTGCTCATGCGCGCGCTGGACCGTTGCCTCTCGGACTGGCAGAGCGGGGCAGCCAGTGGCACCCCATTCCCATGCCACTTGTGGTTGCAAATGGATAACTGTAGCGGGGAAAACAAAAATGTCCACGTGGCCAAATTTGCGTCAATGCTCGTCGACCGCAGCATTTTCCGATCAGTTACGACATCGTATTTGCAAGTGGGGCACACGCACGAGGACATCGACTTCATGTTCTCCGTGATGTCTACGGCAATCCGCAAGATGGGCAATTGGGACAATCCGCGTCAGATGGTGGAGAGGGTTCAAATGGCCATGGACGCACACGTCACCCGCACGATGAAGGACATCCCCGTGCGGTCTGGGATGCTCGACGCCGTGCGCGATTGGAAGCAATGGCTGGGGCCGCTCGATGGGGTCGACCCACACAATGGGTTGGTCGGCATAATGTCGGTGCATTGGATGTGCTTCATGAGGCGAAAAGACATCCCCATCGCTGTTATCAGAGATGTTGCGCCAGCCAGTGGCAGCGGGCCGAATGACGTCATGCTCTTGTGCAAGGAGTACATGAGCGACGGTTGCTGCTCCCAGCCACCAGTGCTCATGCTCCAAGCTGGGGCGTCCTCTATGCTTCGCCCGCACACTGGCCCCCTCATGTGGGAAGGCAGGACAGATATCCCGATGTCGAAGATCGACAAACTTTGCGGGAAAATCGAGCAGTACATGCCGGCGCACGTTGGGTGCGCAGAGTATTTGCGCGATTGGGCGCGGAAGCCACGAATGCACGATCCGCCCCCCCGCGCTTTAGATTGCATGCGCCACAATTACGGAAGAGCGCTGCCGGGGCACGATTTCGCGACGGCCTTCTCTGAAGCGCTCGGGGGGAGGCAGCATTGTCCTGCGCCCAAAGCGCTTGTTGTCAAGCGAAAGCGCGTCAACAAAGACGACGCTCCATGGTCCGTGTCGCTGCCCCACTACGTCAACGCGCGGTGCTCTCAGGGCGTTTCCGTGGACGACGCCGTCAACGAGTGGAATGGCGGCCGGCTCGTCCACGGCGTCACTGAATGACGCTCCCCCGCGGCGCGTTGCCCGCAAAAAAAAATCACCACCCCCCCTGCGCCCATCACCATCACCATCGTCATCTGGATCGCCATCGCCACCTCATCATCGCAAGTAAATGCGCATCGCTGCTATGAGCAAAAACAACCCGCCACCGCGCCCCTGGGCACGGAGTGGGCGTGCCCTCAGGTCCTCTCACCATCCCTAAGCGCTAAAAATCGAGGGGAGGAGGAGAAGGAGGAGGAGGAGGAGGAGGAGTAGGAGGAGGAGGAGAAGCATGAGGAGCATGAGGAGGAGGAGGAGGAGTAGGAGGAGGAGGAGGAGGAGGAGGAGGAGGAGGAGGAGGCGGAGGAGGAGGAGGAGGAGGAGGAGGAGGAGGAGGAGGAGGAGGAACGAACGAACGAACGAACGAACGAACCGCCACCATCGCGCCGGAGCGCGTCCCTCGGGGGATGAGGGAGGAGGAGGAGGAGGAGGAGGAGGAGGAGGAGGAGCAGGAGGAGGAGGAGGAGGAGGAGGAGGAGGAGGAGGAGGATAAGGAGGAAAGAGGAGGGGGCACAGGCCCCTCTAAATCGTCGGTCCTCGACAATGACCGCGCGTGCAGCGATTCTGGCTCAAACCTGTTTGTTTTCGCCAAACGTGTCTCCACGACCCTTGACCTGCAGTTTCGGGGATGAGGGTGCGAAGGAAGGCGGGTGCGCCATCCAGCCCCGAGTCCAGCGGCCAGCCAGTGGCAGCCGCGTCGGAATGGCCTTTAACAGCTGGCTCGAGGCCGCCAGTCAAGTGGAGCTGGTGCAAACGCGCGAAAAAAATTAAATCGCATCACAAGGCTGTCCTCGATGAACCCCAACCGTCGATCAGCGACCGCAAAGCCAGGTGCATTGGACAACACGAGTCAGGTCTTGACTGCGGGAACGGTTTCGTTGAGCTCACCGTCCGCATGAAAAGAGACACGTTCCGACAACTCCTGGCGCAAACCCCTGGCGTCACCGACGTCAAAGACCTCCCGGCGAAGGCAGGGGCCGGCCATGAGTGCAAACACAACGTTGCCGTGTCAAGCAAGCGTCTCCGAACGCCATTGGAATTTGAACTCACGAGGCACGGACACGTGGCCAGCCAGCGGCAGCCCGTGGTAACAGCGCAATTTTTGCACGTCAACGCATGGGAGCCGGCGATGTTGGAGGAGGGGTACCGTATCCTGAACTTGGCCGTTGGTTCGTTCGCGAAGTTCCCAGAGATGTTTGCCTCCATGCGAACGCAGCACGTCCGGTGGTGGAACGAGCGCTTGCAGATCTCAGAGATCGCCAAGGCGATTACGCCAAAGAAACGAAGCATCGACAGCGAGCTACTGTCGGAGCGTTCGTCGACCGAGGGAGAAACCTCAGAGGAGGAGGATGGGCCAGCCAGTGGCAGCCCTGAGGAGGAGCCAGCCGCAGCAGCCGCAGCAGCACCTGCTAGCAGCGCCCAGCAGCCAGCCGCAGCAGCAGCTGCCGAGAAGCTGCCGGTGCCGCCCGGGGAAACCTTCTCCCCCCCTCAGGATGAGGAGAGTGACGGAGTTTGGATTCGGGCTCTTAGGGTCGGCAACTTCCCCCTCGCCGGAGTTTGGATTCTTAGGGTTTGGAGTTCGGTCTCTTAGGGTCGGCAGTTTGGATTCTTAGGGTCGTTAGTCGGTAGTTTGGATTCTTAGGGTCGGCAGTTTGGATTCTTAGGGTCGTTAGTCGGTAGTTTGGATTCTTAGGGCCGGTAGTTGGATGAAAGGGAGGAGGAGGAGGAGGAGGAGGAGGAGAAGGAGGAGGAGGAGGAGGAGTCCTCCTGATTCCTCCTCGTCGCTCCCCCAGGTCGAGGACGTCGTCGAGCTCGCCAAGCACGCCCCTGGCGCCGTCCACCTGCAGGACGTGCTGGGGGCGTCGGCGGAGCAGCGGATGGAGGACTTCTTGCCTGATTTCGGGGGAACGCCAACTTCCCCCTCGCCGGCAAGCCCCCCTGCCGCGGCGGCGCCCGCAGCGCCGCCCCCTGCTGCTGCGCCACAGACACAATGGTGGACGCCCCAACGGTACGAACCGACTGGGACGGGCTGGAAACCGAGCTTGCGTCCAGCCGTAATCCCGCCTACGATCGACGCTGGGAGGCTGGACCCCGACGAGAAAGCGGAGGGCCAGCCAGTGGCAGCCCCGACTCCGCTGCCTGCAAGCGGCACAGGGCTTGGCCTGGGCAACTTGGAATTGACCCCGGCTTCCAGAGGCATCGCGGAGGAGGCGTCGCTGTCATGGGCGGCGTGGACGGAAGACGAGGATGGGCCACCATCCGAAACAGCTCAACCAAAGCTTGGTGGCAAAGGCCAGGCTTCGGGCTCAGAGGTCATCGACCTTGAGGAAGAGAAGGGAGGGGGTCTCCCGTCCTCGGAGGAGCCGCGGACGAAAACAGCTAGAAAAGAAGAAGAGCAAGTACCGAAGGCCCAGCCAGTGGCAGGCCCCGCCAGTAGTACAAAAGGGGCTGCAAGCAAGGGGAAGTCAGGGAAAGGCTGGCACCATGCAAATGCGGAGAAGAATTTCGGTGGCATCTGGCACGGCAGCGGCTGGTACGACGTCACGCCAGAGAACGCGCTGCACCCCAGCGCAGGGCAACTCACCTCGAGTGACCTGGCCACCATGAGGCGGCTGAAGGACAGCGGCCCCGAGCGTAGCCGACACGACCTGGCAGGGGAGACGTTGGAACTACTGGATGAAGATGGCCATCTCTATCAGGGCATGAAGATGCGCATGAAGTGGGCCCTGTTTAACGTGCACACGTTGCACTGGTCCAACGTCAGCAAGGACACGCTGACGGCGATATCTCGCGAGGCCGTAGCTTTTGGCAAGAAGCTCAAAAACAATCAGCCGTGGTGCGGCGAGGACCCCGAACTCACCCAGACGAAGTTCCGCGTGCTTCTCAGCTCCCTGCCCGACGAGTGCTACCAGAAATACCCCAGGGGCATGCGGTGGCAAGGCCAAGAAGTCACCGACGCTAAACGCCTGGCTGACCTCGCCATCCAGACGCCTACCGGCACTTCCGCCACTCTACTCCCCCCTCCCTCCCGCTCCCGACTGAATCAGTAACCTCATGTGTATATATACAGATGTCTATATATATATGTATGTATATGTATATATATATATATGCATATTGTTTAAAGCTCATTCACACGAAATTTCTGAGCTCGCTCGCACTCGGGGTGGGCGCGCGGATGAACGCGTTCAATGGAGAGTGCAGGGAGGCGGAGCCGTTTGATTCCACGACGTGGAAATACGACGCAGCGGTGAGCGTGGGGGTGAGCTCATGGCAAGGCAACAGCGACCCCTGGAATAACGAGCAATTCTTGGTGAATCAGGCCAGCCAGTGGCAGCCCTTGACCCGACAAGAGCGAATTGCTGTCGGCCGAGGAAAGCTGATTCTGACCCCAAGTAATGACGATGCTCAGCCAGCTTGGGAAAACATGACGAACCGATTGATGTGCCCACCTCGGCGCGCCAAGGGTACGTGGACGAGGACTGCGCAGGTAGTGTCGCTGTGTGGTCTTTTCGAAATGCTCGGGCAAGAATACACGGCCAAGGATATCTACGACTATTGGTTGAGCTCACGAGTTGTCGCCGCGAAGTACAGGCGGCCAGGGATGGAGACCAGCAGCCACACCCTGCAACGCCAGGTGGCGCTCGAGCACAGGGGTCAAGAACAACATCTTTCAGAAGAGTTCGCGTCCGCGTTCGGCTTGTCAGCTGACCGCATGCCAGCCAGTGGCAGCAAGCGGTTGGAGCTGATCGGGCGGGCAATTGGCAGCAAGATCTTGGAGAGAGACATGCACCCATGGGCGCAATTCAAGCCTGTGCCTGCCGGCGGCATTTCGTGCATGTCGATGGGCTGGGAGGTGTTGAAGACGACGTTGCTCCAATGGGACGACATGAGTCTGGCTCACTTGGGCGCGGATGTCCGGGAAGCTGTCTCCAAAAGCGCAGGCGGGGCGTGCGCTGGATGCGTGGGCCAGCCGTTGTACACCTGCATGGGCTCCAGAACGGTTGCCCGGGACGGCCAGCCAGTGGCAGCCGGCACCCAGGATGCCATCCAGATCTGTTGTGGGAACACTGCTCTTCTGAGCAAAAACTTCCAATTGCCCGAAGGGCAGACGGCGTGGTTGTGCCAAGATTGCCACAATGATCAGTCCCCTGTCCATAACGGAATCGCCAATCGCCTCATCCGTCTTTTCCCTTTGGTCGAGACTACTTCAGGCAAGCTACCGGTGTTCATCCCCTCCGAGGGGCCAGCGTGCTTACTGGCTCTGTTTCATGCGCCTGAGGAGTGGTCATTTCCCACGCTTGCCCATGACTGGGACGACGGCCAGCCCACCCAATTCCGAGACGTCTACCTTAGGGGCGACGCCATGGAACCAGTGAAGGTGGTCCTAAACCAAGTGCCACGATTCGTGTATGAATACGAGGACAGCAACGTGGTGTGGAACATTGCGGGCCGCTACCAGGGCGTGAAGCCCGAGGAATTCAAGCCTGATCGGCGATACGCTCAGTAGTGACCCCAGCCAGTGGCAGGCTTACGTAGTAGAGCGTGCACTCGCGCACGTGTGGTTCAGAGCGTTCGGAAAAAAAGATACAGCGGAATTTCGTTGCCTCGAGAGTGCTGGAAGTGTTGGGGGGGTTACGGTGTGAGGCAGATTATGCAGGTGCTTGTGGAGGTAGAATACACGTCCCTGGGCAAAGCACTTGCAGTAAAGTGTCCGGTGCTTCCCTGGGCTTGCAGTAAAGTGTCCGGTATTTCTGCTTCCCTGGGGGACACAGCAATGCTGCGCTATGAGGGGCAGTGCTGAGCAGTGCTACGCTATGATATGATATGCAATGCTATGCGGCGCAAAGTCCTGGTATGCAATGCTGTGCTATTGACACATTGCTTTGCTATTATGTGCTGCGCGATGCATCGATGAGATGCCATGCTGTGCTATGATATGCGCTGCTCGGGGATCAGTGTTGGCAGTTGTTGCGTTTCTTGGCGATTCGGCCTCTGGGGGCCCTCAATGTAATGGCCCCAGGCGCGTCAAAAACGGGCTCATCAGGATTGGGGCACTGCAAGCGGCGTGGAACCAGGGTCCTGGTTGACGTAAATTCCCCGCATAACCTAACAATTATTAAAAAAAAAAAAAAACAGCTCATCAGGATGAAAAGCCGGTCCCCGGGAAATCGTCGAGAGGTCCGGGGGCCGCGTATTGAAAACAACACGACGTCGAAGGTCTGATGATGACGATGATGATGATGATGATGATGATTATGGTGATGATGATGGGTGATGACGATGATGATGATGATGGTGATGATGAAGATGCATGGTGGTGATGGTGATGATGATGATGATGGTGGTGATGATGATGATGATGCTGATGATGATGCTGATGATGATGATGACGATGATGATGATGATGATGCTGATGATGATGATGCTGATGAGCTCATACGCAAAGCGCTTGCGCGGACAGGAATCGTTTTTCTGATGGTGGTTATTATTACTATTATTATTATTGTTATGATGACGATGATGATGATTCTGATGATGAGGAAGTGGAGGAGGAGGGAGGAGGAGGAGGGAGCAGGAGGATCGAGGAGGAGAAGAAGGAGGAGGAGGAGGAGGAGGAGGATATGCTATGCTATGGAGGTTGGCAGTTGTGGCTCGGCGCCTGGCGCGGCGCCGGGGTTGGAAGTTGTGGCTCGGCGCCTGGCGCGGCGCCGGGGTTAGCAGTTGTGGCTCGGCGCTTGGCGCGGCGCCGGGGTTGGCAGTTATGGCTCGGCGCCTGGCGCGGCGCCGGGGTTTGCAGTTATGGCTCGGCGCCAGCCTGGCGCGGCGCCGGGGTTTGCAGTTATGGCTCGGCGCCAGCCTGGCGCGGCGCCGGGGTTGGCAGTTATGGCTCGGCTCCTGGCGCGGCGCCGGGGTTGGCAGTTATGGCTCGCCGATTTTCAGCGCTGGGGATGGCTCGCCCGGAGGGTCCAGAGCCATAACTACTGATCCACCCTCGCAACAGCAGTTATGGCTCTGGCGCGGCGCCGGGGCCATAACTGTGCCCTTGCAGGCTGATTCCCGGCGCTCAAGTCAGTTGTTTGGGCGATTTTCAGCGCCTCAAATTGCTTCAGAAGGGCACAGTTATGGCTCTGGCGCGGCGCCGGGGCCATAACTGTCAACATAACTGATCCAAGAATGGATCAAGTAGTTATGGCTCTGAACCCTCCGGGGTGAGGACGACGTCGCGATTTTCAGGGATGCACGCGTGTGCCACGTCCTTCATTGAATGTGCGTCGCACGGCGTGTGCACGCGTGTGCATGCGAAACAAGGCGATGCAATGCTACAGTACGCAGTGCGTCGCACGGCGTTATCGGCTGCCCTTCCCTCACCATCGCCATTTATCATCACTGTCAACACCATCATCGGCAACGTCATGTGTCACCATCATTGTGTCATCATCAGTTTGTCATCATCATGAACCGTCATCGTCGTGATATTCATCATCGTCATCACCATGTGTCAGCATCATTGTCATCATAGCCCGTCGTGGCTCAAACACCCTCCTTTCGGATGGCTTTGTCAGAAGTATTGCGCTGCTCGCCTGGTTAGCCAGTGGCAGCCAATGGCGCGCGACTGTCAGCACCGTCATCGGCAACGTCATGTGTCGTCATCATTGTGTCATCATCCGTTTGCCATCATCATGATTCGTCATCATTGATACTCATCATCGTCATCGTCATGCGTCAGCATCATTGTCATCATAGCACGTCGTGGCTCAAACACCCTCCTGTAGGATGGCCTTGTCAGAGGTATTCCACCCGTCTGGCCAGCCAGTGGCAGCCAATGGCGCACGCATGCCCGTGATGGACGAGCTACGGGAACTTCGACTTTTGCCAGAATTCACCTCACTGGTGGATTGTATACAAAAAGAAAAGAAACAGTTTGTCAACGTGCGCCAGATTTTGTCCCACCATACGTCCGCCGCGTGCCAGCCTGGCAACAGGGATGGCACAGCTGGCAGTGGGGCAAACCTGAAAACCGCGGGCCTGGACAACGCGCTGCCCAACCACGCCGTGCACGTGACGCTCCCCCACAGCTATACCTCCGACGACGGGCTAAAGCTAGACTACCGCGGCGAAGCTGCTCGTTCCAAGGCAGAAGGCAAAGACGCCTGTTGCATGGATATCCTTTGTTACCTTCTCGTGGGAGCTCCGGCCAACGTGTGCTTGGCACCGGGGCCGTTCATAAACGGCGACGCAAGCGTGCTGGCTTGTCGGGAAGCAGCGCAACTGTGTCAGACTGCGCATCGTCAACGCATGGTGGGCCGCCAGCCAGGGGCAGCGCGCCCGCTGTACGAGCTCGTCGATCAACTAAGTGGGCCGCGATACGGAGGTAACAATCAAGCTCCTCTCGAGGAATACGAACCATTGGGGCCAAATGAGACTCAGGCGCAGAGGGATCAGGAAATCGTGGAGCTTCTACAAAAGCACCTTTCTGCCAAAGCGTACTCTCCCAGTCGTTTGCCCAATGCCGCGTGGTCTGGTTTGCGACGCCTGCTGCCACGGGGAGGCCTTGCGCCATTTCTGAAGAGGCATGCAGACATCTTCGACATAAATTTTGACGACCAAGGCAAGGTCGAGGCGTTCCGTTTTTTTCGAGTGGACCCTCCCCCTGGTCTCACCTCGGCATGGAGGCGCGCAGGGACTTGGCCAGCCAGTGGCAGCCAAGGGCCAGCCGGCAGCGGCGATGGCAACGACATGCCAACCAGTGATAGCCAAGTTCAAGGGCCGAGGGGAAGAGAAATGGTCGCATTTGAATTCAAGGATAAGCTATACCTGGGAAACGTTGGGGACATTGGCGACGATGGGCAAGCTCACGTGGATTTCGGATTCTACGGGGCCTGGCTACTCGCTATGGAAAGCTTGTGGACGTGTGGGGAATCACCCCCCCAGCGGTTTCCATGCTGGTGCGCGCACTGGGGGAACGCGCAGCAAGCTGAGCATTCAAGCCTCTTCGGGTGGCGCGTGGGCGTCTGCCAAGGCGTCTATGATGGGGATGGCTTACGCGTCGCTAGTCCTCAGCGGACAGCCTGTCTCGACAATCCCGACGGAACGACGGACGCGAGGAAGATGTGGGCGCGCCCGTTTGGCAACGTCAAACCGCTGGTGCCGCCAACCAAGCAGGGGCCAGCCAGTGGCAGCTCGGACAATTGCTTGCGGGCATAGGCAGCTAGGATAATCTTGCGCGCTGTATTCGCCGTGTCAAAAAAAAGGTGTCCTTCTCCGATTTGCTCTTCCTCCTCCCCACCCTCCTCCTCCTCCTCCTCCTCCTCCTCCTCCTCCTCCTCCCCGTCCTCCCCCTCCTTCCTCCTCCTTCCTCCTCTCCCACATCTATGTTTTGTCGTTGAATTTGCACCATGGTCGCAGCTGTGCTCAGAGCTCAAGCTGAGCGATCCCGTTGCATTGCCAAGCGATACCGTACCAGCCACTGTCATGGCAGAGCCGCCAGACCCAGGCGATGGCTCACCAGCGTTCAAACGCGCGAAGACAGAGGAACTTTTGCCGGGCGACTCGCCAGCCAGGGGCAGCGACGTTGTCTTGGCAAACGTGGCGGCACGCGTGCCGCAAAACGTGCCTGACCCACTGAAGGGACTCCTAGGTGCGCTCGATTCCTGTTGGGGGGAACTTTGCAATCATGAGTCTGGGCCTCTAGGCGCGTTCCGGCAGAGGCTGTCGGACAAGCATGTGCGCCAGACGTGGGCGCTTCAATACCTATCTAAGATGAAGGCGGCAAACCCGCGATTCGGGCAACATCTTACGAAGCAGCTCAACAAGGAAGATGTTGAAAACACGACCGTTGGAGTTCTAACAGAGGGCCACATACTTATGATGTCTATCGACAGGATGACTGGGAATTCTTGGCCAGCGTTTTGGAAGAAAGACCCGAGCCACGCTCGGATCCGAGACGTGTGGACGACGGCGTTGCTCACTGGCCGAGGCATGGATTTGTCATCGAGATCGCTGAAAGTGTGCGTGGCTTCAGAGATGGTAGACGTGCCCGACTTGAGGTCATGTATGTTCTACGCGGGATACATCGCTGGGTCAACGCTGGGCGCGGGCTGCATCTTGCTCGCCTGTATGCTGATGGACGTCGCGGATCTGGAGGATGATGTTTCGGAGGAAGCCAGCCTGTGGCAGCTTCAAGCGGTGAATCAATTTGTGATCACTTCTTCCCGGCTGCCCCTGAAGGTGGTAGCGCACGCATCGCCACAAGACCGCATCAACGACGCGCTGCTTACCAAGGCCCACCTCAACCAGGTAGAGGAGAACCACGGGTTGCTTGCAGCAAACGCCATGGTTCAGTCGAAACTTACGGAGCCATGGTGGATCTGGAACGCAAACACGCTGGACGCAATGATCAAGAAGATCAACGAGGCGTGCCAGGGCGTCAAGACCGCCTACATCGGTGACAGCAAAGCACGCGTCATCAAGAATGTGATTCTGGACATGCCAACCCAGGTCGTGGAC